ATGGCGCTGCGACCTAACTAGATGAGCTAAGCCTTAACTATAGCCAATCCACTCTTAATGTATTCATGAAATTAAGGATATAGGAGGCTGTCATGTTCCAGATTCTGGATAAAGATGATAACACCGGGGCACAGAAAAAAAGTGGTGTGTGCTTTTAACCAGACCCACCTACCGAATCTGAGGTCCGTTTGACTCGTAGGGTGTACGAGTTTCGAGTAAATTGCGAAAATTGCAAATTGTTTGAAATGTTTTGGGTTTTTCGTAGTTTACTCGACATTTTGAGGGATTACGATTCAAACGGACCTCAGATTCGGATTGAGCGGTTCGAAATACATGTAGACAGGTAGGTCTAATTAAAATCTCACACACAAACTTTTTTGGTGCCGGTGTAATCGTTCGTCAAGGTGTTGTAAGTCTAAGTCGAGTTATACGCGGGCAATCACATAATGTCGACTTCCAAACCATACCATGCTGAGTCAACATAGACTTAGTCAGACTTAGCATAGTATGGTTTGGAGGCGTCGATATATGATCCGAGGTTTCCTCTTCTACCCACAAAACCTGCAGTTCGTCGCCGCAGAGAGTCCTATTTTGTGTAGATGCAGAGATACAGTCTGCAGTTCCCTGTCTGCTAAAATCTATCAGCCGCTCAAAGGTTCCACCAGAGGCTGTTATGAATCTTTTGTGCTGCCTTTTGCCTTTGTCGTTCGCCATTGGGTTGCAATGTGCAAGGCGTGTGCCATCTTTTGAGCAGTCTTGTCGCTCTTCAGGCGACCGTCCTTTGAGCAACAAGGCCTTTTTTTGGCCGCTGCGCCTTCGGCATTGGCAGTGGAGGCCATCGCAGGCCCAGCTGGCCAGCGACCCTTGCCTATCCAGAGTATCAGCACAAAACGCGTCGTCAGCTAGAGTTAACTCAGCGGTGGGACCTCGATAGACCCTGTTAAGCGCTTTCCGGCTAGCCGCAAGTCCGAATTCTGACCCTCGGCAAGGCTAAATATCCTGTCAACGGAGGTGGAAGCTGGTTCCGAAAAGGAACATAGACCGTTTTTTGGGTAAAGGAGCTGAATTTGGGCTTAGAGGAGCCCTTTCGTAGTTGTCTCACCACATCAGGGATAGATGGCAGCGACCGCTAGTTTTTTTTGTCGCCTTTGTAACGTCGGCGAAGGTCACCATCGTCCTTGGAGGCGTTGGTCCCGCATGTACCCTTTTATCGGGCGCTCTTGTCTTCGTTTTTAGGGAGTTGTGGGTTTCTGGAGAGTTGGTGGTATGGAAGCGATCCCTTTTTCCACAGCCCCTCAACAGTGGAGCGAGCTCCTTTTTCACGCTTGACCATTGGCAGCAAAGCTTACCTCTTGGTCTCAAGCTCGCTGACGCCTCTAGAGCGGTAAAACTTACATATTTTCTTGTCCACTCCAAATATCTTTCTAGTCGGAGTACTTGCTTCCGTCGGCTAGGTCGAGAGCAGAAGTTCCTCATCGTCCCCATAACTGGAGTACTTACACCGTTAGAAGACAACGCCAACGTAGTGCGTAGGCACGGTCCGATTAATATCTGGACTTACGCAACGGCTCTTTCTGACACATAAAAAACATTTTTTTTTCAACGTTGCCTTTCTTGAAGTATAATGTGGTGATTTTTCTCTGATCTTGAACTTTTGTTAGATTTTGTGTGCACATTTCTGTAGGACAAATTTCTTTGATGTGGCAACATTGCCTTCAACTATTTGTCCCTCCTTCCTCTTCTTCTACGCGCTCGCTAGCCATTTTTTAAGAATGAAGTCAGGCAACCTGTCGAGCAATCTGCTCCTATTTTTGCCCACTCTTCTCGTAGTAGGCTCTATAATTTACTTTGGCTTGGCTCTGCTTCACATGTACGTGCCGTCTGACCAGCAGCAGCTAGTTGTTGACTCAACTATAATTAAAAAAAGTGTGGCAATGTTTATTTCCGCAAATTAGTTTTTTTAATTAAAGGACACACTCGCACAAACAGACATAGGCATGTATGTATATACATAAGTACTTGCAAGACTTGACACTGACAATGGAAAGCCTATTTCAACCTCAACTGTCATGTTTTCTTTTTTTTATGGCATTTTTGTTTTATGTGGGTGTGCGCTTAAGTTTTTTTTTACTCAACTGCAGTAACTAGGAATGTTGCTTCGTTAGTGCAGATGGCTTTTCCTCATTGTTCTGAAATATGTTTTTTGTCTTACTTTAACCCCCATTTCGGTTAGCAGCTGAAAGGCTAACTAGCGTATTAGTTAGGTTAATTCAATGTGAAAGTCACGCAATGTGTAGCGGATTGTGTATGGCGGCGCCCACATTTCCTGCCCTTACAACTTTTGCTACTTTTCTTGCTTCAATTGCCTTACTTCTTTTGTTACTTAAATTTTTAAACTACATATGAATTTGTAGTTCTCGAAATACGACAGTCATATTCTGCTTTAATGAAATTATAAAATTACAGAAACATTATTATCTACCACATTTAGTTACATACGTACAGTTGTCGCTGCCCATGAACTCATGAATACCCTTATTAGGCAATGCATTGCTCCATGCAGCTGGCTTGGTGCGACTACTAATTTGCCGTATTAACGATGTGTTCTTCTTCCTTTTCCCTGACCTGATAAAATATATTGTACGTCTCCTTGTTCGCTAATCCTTATGCAATGTTTCTCCTACTCGTTTGTTGTGCAGCTGACGAGTGTTTTGCTATCGCATTTAAATTTAGTTGCATATGTGCGGTTCTTTTTCATTGGGGTGCATGTTATTATCATTTGACAGTGTTCGCCCTTGAACCAATTGGACAATTGATAGACAAATTGGCCTTAAAAGTCGGATGCAATGAGATATGGTATATAAAGGTAATACTGCAATCAATTTATATTTTTAATACTATTGAGCAACCAAGTCATTCCAAACGAAAGTTAAAGATCGCCCTATTTAACAATTGATGAGGTCGCCAAACTAAACGGCGTTAGGTCCCCGAAACAACAGTCCTTGTCCGGAAAAACCCCAGTTATTCACCCGGCTGTGGTCGGAATGAGTAAACCACAGAGCCGAAACAAGGAGGTGCTCAAGTCGCTCGCCGGCAACAACTGGGGCAAAAAAACATGGAGGTTGGTGGCAACATACAAGGCTGCTGGTTGGTCGGTTGGAAATTATGCTGCACCTATTTGGTCGCCTCGAACTAAATATTTGAACGCAGTGGACGAAGTCACAGACTGTTCAAAACGCTGCAATTCGGACAGCGACAGAATGCCTGCTGATGTCCCTGAGCAACATCTTCATAGCCACGCCCTAGTACTAAATGCTCAGCAAGCTGTTTTTGGTGCGCATCTTTTTCAGTATAAGGACGCAGTCCAGACCTACATAGTACACTGGAGCCAACGATGTACAGACAAGCGATAAACGACATTCATAGAGTGCCTGTCACCACCTTCTGCAACTCTCAACCTACATATGAGTGATAGAAACTCAATCTCCACCTGTTGCAGACATTGAACTACAGCTGCTACATGGCCCACTAGATCTAGATACTGGAAACAGCTATCTATCCAAACTCGACTCCGATATACCCAATTAGTGCCCAGCCGGTGAAGATTCCCCACACGACACCAACCCCTCATAGATATGTATGTATCAAAATACTCGTATATACAGTGGCTCAATTAAGTGTTCGCATGTTGTGTTTTTTTTTTTTAATATTCACAACGTTTTTCAAGTTCAAATTTTTTTTATTTACTAAATAAATTTCTCAGGCTTTAACAAAAACCATATAAATTAAAATAAATTTCCATCACTTAGTCTAATTTTGTTTAGCAATTTGACCACTGAGTTTAAGCGATTGTACATCTTTTGAACGTTTTAGTGAACTTTCGGATAAACCTAAAACTTTGAAGCACCTCAAAACTAACCTGTATCAAGTATATGTACGAGGTGACTACCAATAAATATCAAAAAGTGGTCGAAATGTTTTCCAAAAGTTCAACGCTCTAAGGCGTGCAAGAATTCCTGAAATTCTCGTATGGTGCACACCTTTGAGGTTGATAGCCCAAACTAATTCATTAATGACTTCATTCCAAAAAGTTACCAAACTGCAGAATAAATTATCAGGTTACCAAACTCGAAAAATAAACAATTAAACTTATCAAATTTTTGTAGAAAAATTACCAAAACAGCTGTGCTGGTTACGACTTGAAAAAATTTTACTTATCTCATTTTATTAAGTTTTTTAAGTAAGTTCCCCGTATGTTACATAGTTTTTAAGGCTTTTGGGATTTTTTATTTTTTTTTAAATTCTCTACTTTTTCCGTGTTTTATCGGGGCCTTTCAAGAATTTCTGGAATGTTTTCGTGATTTTCCGATTTTTTTCGGGATCCTCCATGTGGTACTTATTACTATTTTTCACTGCGATTGCTCGGGGCCTCCCGGATTAGTGTTTTACTTTTCGGGGGTTTTTTTTTATATTTCTTCGGAACTGCTTGGTACTGCTCAAAGATTTTTCGGCACCTCTCGAAAATCGACATCGAAATGTTAACGGTGCATTTCGGTTCCGCTCAAAATTTTTTCGGTACTCTTCGTATTTTGGCTTTCGCGCCTTTTCGGAAGCTTCTGGTGTTTTTGCAAAACTTTACTAGATATTTTCGGTATAATTCACGTTTTATTTTTCGGAATCTTTTAGTATTTTTTCAATACTTTTGAATTTTCGGAACATTGTAAGATGTTTCGGTATTTGCGAGGAATTTCTACTCCATTTTAATGCTTTTCAGGCTTCTTTCGAACCCCTTTGGAACTTTGCGAGATTTTTCGTGTTTTACTTTTCGGGAATATTCGGTATTTTTTTTTTTGGGAACTCTCGGGCCTTCTCGAGATTTATTTATAACTTCTGGTGTTTATCGAAAACTTTCATGTACATATATAAATTTTTTCAAAAATAACATTATAAGATATAGATGTTATTTCATTAACTTTGTTTTTTTTTTCTTTTATTTTTAGTGGGCCCCAATGTGACCAATTTCGGCTGGTGATGCCGCAAAAACAACAAAACCAGCAGCTGACGCAGGTACTTCAACCTCGATAGTAGTAAGAACACACTTAATTCTTCCACAAAATGGCAATCAGCTATGGCTGTCTTGCGGTGCAATATGTGGTGGTGCCGACGGTACTGGTGCTGGGTAAGTGATGGAAAAAGTAAAAATTACTTGATGATTGTTTTTTTTTTTATTTAGTCAAAAGGGGAATTCCTTTGACGTACGTGCAGTTGGTTACTCATATCGTATATTTCTTCCTTTTCAGCCGCACTATTCCGCCCTGCCGGTATCTCGTTCGTGTACCTGTTAATGTTTTTTATAACGCCCTTTATCCCCATCGCCAACAGTCGTAATTTTAAAAGTTCCGTAGGACCGTTTTTCATCATACTCATCGCACTATGTGCACTACTACTATTATGTCATATAGTACTGCAAGTGACAATAATTGCTATGAAGATCGAATCGATCTTCGCTATGTGTTCATTTACGCAACAACTGTTGCGACACATCGGATTCATTAATTTGCAAAACCTACAGTAAGTAAAGTAAACTACATAAATTAATAATGACTATAAACTAATCGCATTTTGTTTCTTTAAAAAAATTTTTTTTTTTAGTCCAATAGCCGCCATTGAATGGCATGCGCCGGATTTGTTGGTTTTCATCACAGTGGTAGTTTCATTTATAATCATAAAAAAGCTATCACAAACACCACCACCAATTACTCTGCAGTTAGAAATTGGAGAAGCTATACCGATTCCGTTGCGAGAATCGGATGACAATGTTAATCCAGATGATGAAGCATTCTTCGATGGATTAATAAGAATATGTAAGTAAACAAGTAATTTTTAGGCAAAAAAACAAAACCGACTACAATTCTCATTAAACAATTTAAGATTACCGTTAATTTCTTCATGATCCAATGATCGGATCTAAATAAAATTAGTATGGGACCATCTCGGAGGTACCACCAAAAAAAGAATTATAGAAATCTGTTAACGTACTCCAAAGTTATTTGGTAACATATATATAAAAAAAATAAAAATAAAAAATATTCCGACGAATTGATAACCTTCTCCTTTTTTGAGGTTGGATACAAATTTGAATCGGTGGAATTTTTTATAATTTTTTTTTTTTGTGACAAGAAAAAGAAATTTCAAGTGCATTATTTGTAAATATTTCTACCCCTCTACGTTCAAGCTAGGTTATATAATACCAGCTGATAACCGCGACTCCGTCTGCGTAGCTTTGTGATGAATTTAAAAACAATGTCCCACAGTCACGTTCTTAATTTCAGCTAAATTGGTCAACTAATAAGGATGTTCTCGGCACTAGTGCCAACTAGCGGTAAAAGTATTTCTAATCGCACGTCCGTACCACGGGTCTTAGAAATATACTGTGATATGGCTTAAAATCGTGCACACGTTCTTCTGAGAATCTTAAAAGACGTTGATTTGAAATTCAACAAAATCGGCCTACAACCACACACATCGCCCATATACCGTGTGTCCCAGACCACCCGTCCATCTCTCCAAAAATGGAGGAAAATTGTTTAATGGAAAACGGAAAAATATGAACTACCAAGTCGGTTTCGACCGGAAGTGGGTTAAACAGACCGGAAGTCCATTCCAGAGAAACGTTTCTAACAAAAGTTACTTATTTTCGGCCGCAGAATCCGAATCTGTTGTAAAAGCATATACGTCCCATTTAAAAAAAATGGACTTCCGGTCCATCCACACGTTAAATATTTGTTCGTTTTTGACTTTGACGACGTAGTAGGTAATTTTATCAAACAGCAGCAAGAGGCAGCAGACAATTTATACACCAAATGAAAGTACATATAATGCCCTTTTATCAGATATATATCATATCGGACGAGATCGGACAGATTGTCACCCCAACGTGATATTGTAAATAATTAGAGAGAGCAACAGCAAGTCGAACGCCTGCAGACCTAGTTTCTACAACTGACCTGTAGATCGCTGGCTTGGACATGGGTGAATACTCGTACACAGTCTGGTTGTCCCCCTCGGGACACTAATAGAAATATCGATCTATAGCGTAGTAGTAGTTAGCCTTACCTAGTTCTAGTAACTCTTTAATCACTGCAAAACCAGCTAACACTCCTCTGTAAAGCTCCAAAAAACCAACCAATATAATCATCGTGCATCCCTATAACGTGATAGAAAAGGCGTGAGTACCAGTACATAAATAAGTTAGATTAGAAATCAAACATTAATTTAATTTCATATTGTCGGAAATAGTTCAGGACTAATTTAGCATCATTTCGTGAGTAATTTCGAACTACCCCGAACTAGTGTCAAAATTGTCCTGAAGTAGTCCTGAAGTGGTTCTGAAAAAGTCCTGCACTTTTCCCGAAATGATCTAGAACAAGTCTTAAAAATGAACAAGTACCGAAATGCTCCTGAACTAGGCTCAAAACAATCCTGATCAAGTCCCGAAATGTTCCTGAAGTAATCCCGAAATGGCCCTGTTATTGTCGTTAACTATTCCGAAGTGGTCCTAAAATAGTCCTGAACTAGCCTCGAAAAAGTCGTGAACGTGGCCCGAAATGATCTCGAGCAAGTCTTGAATTAACGCTAATATAGTCCTCAACTAGTTCCAAAATGATCCCGGTCCAGGCACGAAATGTTCCTGAAATAGTCACCAACGGGTCCCGAATTGGTCCTTAAATATCACTGAGCTAGTCCAGAAGTGTTCATTTGTACACACAAAAATCGATTACAGATTTTCTGCTGGGTTACATAAGAAGCAGTTACAAATTTTCGGCCGACTTGAAAAAAATTATACCCATACCGAGGGCTAAAATGTTTACCAGAGTTGCGTGATTTTGAAGTGGTATTTCAATTCAATTCCTAAATAATATAAATTTATTATTTGTTCGACGAATCAAATCATGAATAAAATTTATTTGTGATTTGCTTCGTCGGACAAATAAGAAATAAAATTTATTTGATTTTAATCCTCCTTCAAATAAAAAATTTATTTTATTTGTGATTTGATTTGTCGAGCAAATAAATTTGATTCGTGAATTTAAAAAAAAATACTTTTTATGTAATACAAGCACGATTTTCGAGATTTTTCCAATTTTTCCAGTGCAAATGAAATCACAAATTATTTGGTTGAGGAATCAAATCCCAAATAAATTTTATATTTTATTTGTCCGACAAATCAAATCCCAAATAAATAGATTTCTTAATTAAAAGAGGATTTAAAATCAAAAAGGGTTTTAAATCTCGCAACACTGATGTTTACACATTAAAAACTTTTAGTTCGAGTCTGTCATAAGGATTTTTTTTGCCGATTCTAATCTTAAAGGCTCTAATGCCTTTCGAGTAATTATTTTGATTTCCAACAGCAAACCTTAATATCTTCTTTATGTATTATTTTATTTCACTCAAATTTATGCATCTTAAAGCTTAAACAGACGGCAGCGTTGATCCGGATTAACTCGGACTTAATCCGGATCAACTGCAGTTAATTCCCGAGTTGATCCGGATCAAACGCTGCCGTCTGTTTATGCTTTTACATTTTATATTTTGCATCTCTTTCTCTCTCTAGCACCACTCTTCTGCCTGGCGATGCTCTTTGTTATATCCGTGCTGCGGCCGTCAGCGCCTGCTGGATTATACTTTCTCATATTCCTGTTGAGTGGCACATACTGGGCCACCTATAATTCGCTGCGACAGTGAGTGTGATTTAAAGAAAAAATTTCTATTGTAGCAAAATATATTTATCTGGTAATATTAATGCCAATATTTTCATTAACAATCCCTAACCACAGAGGATTCTCCGTGCTGCTGCGTTTTCTCATGCTGATGATTGCATTGCACTCGGTGTGTATTGTCGCATATCAAACGCCATGGGCGCAACATTATTTGAGTAGTGATAATTTAATAGCAAGGTAAGTAAAATGTGCATACATTAGGGTGGTCATTCAAATAGCAACATCAAAATGAAGGCTTGCGTACAAAACAAAAACATCCGCGGAAATTTCAAAACTTAACACAAATGGCAGTCGCTACAAGAGTTTGAAAAAATTATTATTTTTTAAATCGCAGATATTCTACAAAATTTTTATTTTGGCCACCTATAACTCGGCTAATTTATGAATTTATATTAATAAGTTTCAGTAATATGTCAAATTGATCAGATTTTAAGTCAAAGTTTTGTCGAATTTTTGCGATAAAAAAAAAATTTTTAAATCAAACCCTGTTAGCGACCTCTAAAAATTAATTTAAAATTTTTTAACTCTTATGGATGTTTTTATTTTGCACGCAAAAGAAAATAAAGGGGGGCCCCATAAAAAATTTTAGATGTTGATATTGTACGGACCACCCTAACATTCATACATAGCATGTTGTAAGCAAATGCGCTTAAATTAATATACACATCTTTTCAGACTGATCGGCCTGGAGCCGTTGGTCCTATCGTCCTGCGATCGGGATATACGCGTTATGAGCTACAATTTGAAGTACAGTTTCGACTCCTTCATTCTTCCTATTTTAATGCTGTTAACATATTTTGTGCTTGCGCTCACCGCCAAGTGCCTAAGCAATGCAAATGTGAGTATTAAGATAAATTTCAAAATGTATTTTTTTGAACTTACCAAAGTAAAAAAAAAAAAAAAAAATATTCTTACTGCATACATACATATCTAATACTTTGCGGGGGTCTTATTTGCATTTTAACCAATTTCATGGTTATTCTGTATTAACTAATCGAAGAATGCACACTACAACAAAAACAAAAAACAGCAATTGCATTTTCATATCAATTAAAAAAAATATATGTACGCTACACTTTTTAACACAAATAATACCCCATCTCTAAAAAAAGGCTTTTGGCTTTATTGTGCCCGACTTTTTTGTTTTTATATAAAAGCGAAATTCGTATGTGAACTAATTTGACTAAACAAAATTTCAAACTTGAATCTCTTTCCTTTCTTTTAATGCTGCTTTTGCGTCCAAACCAACAATGCTACCACTGCTGCTCCGAAAAACAAAAATCCAATTCGAACGCAACACCTACAAAACAAAAATATGTATTCGTATATTTACAAAAACAACAAATATTAATGTATTTTTTACTCTATTAATATGATATGTAAATTCTAAAATATATTTTGTAATTCTGTGCACTACCCCAAATTTGATAACCCGTCCGGCATGCTTAGGTCACTGCAAAGCCCAAACCCGCCAAAGGCCAATTAGAAAATGGTAGTAGATTAAATCGTCAAATATCTCGCGTAACGACACATTCATTGCGTAGTAGTAAAAAGGATAGTTGGACACGTGCACAACGCCTGACTGTAAGCAAAAAAAAAAATTTAGCATAGTTTCATTAACATACATGCATCTAAACATTACTGGAAACTTGCATATAAATGCGGTTGTTTAAGTTATAATTGGACTACCTTTTTTGTAAAAATTCCTCTGGATGTTATTAGACGATTTGAAGTAATAAAAACTTATTCCTTTCTTTGCTTTAAAGTTTTAACTGGGATATTCACCGCGTTAATAGTTCGTTTGAATAGGCAGTTTGTTTGGCAGTTATTAAAATTCGAAAAAAATATTTGGTTTTTCTTTAGAAATTCATTTATTTTTGACCTTAAAGGATCGTTTAGGTCCATTGTTTTCGGTGCTTGTTAGGTTTTAACGCTTTAGCCCCCACTTCGGTTGACTTTTAGGGAGTTTCCTTAAAAAGAAAGGTTTTATTTTTTACGGCTCTATTGAACCTAGTTTATAAACAACATGAAACTATAAGGTATAAGGTGATTCTTACGGCGAGAGCTAGAAAATTTCCCGGAAATTTTTGGCAAAAATTTTTAATATTATTTACCTACACGCCACTTGATTTTAAAAAAACTTGCCCGGAACTTGTTCTAGATAAACAAGACTCATTGTGGTAAGAGTTAAGGGGTTAAAATGCTCCACGAAAAAAATACTCACAAAAGATTTATGTATCCGAAGCCGAGAAATATGTTCCACAATTGGAATTTATTTGTAAATAGGTATAAAAAGGTGAAAATTGAATCTACTGTAAAAATGTGTGATGAGGTTGAGCGAGATCTTCTTGTGGTTTGACTATCACGTATGGGAACTGCCGTTTAGGCGTAGTTGGTTTAGGCCCTAAAATTGCTGTTCCACTGTGTAATCCAACTAGTTCTAATTGGTATATGGAAAGGTTAAGGCTTTTAAAGTTCCTGAAATATGTATATGGACCACATAAAATTCAAACTTCTAAAATCACTTTTAATAAACTAAAACTATAAACTAAGTGAAACTGGTCTTAAATTAAAGGCGTCGAGTATATATTTTTTCGACTATGAGCTTTTAATACTGAAGAATTCTACGTGTAATTCTAAGCAAATTTGCCAAAGAAACCATGGGTCTAAAATCAATTTGGAGTTTGCCATGAGGAGCCCATTTGTGCACTTACTTTTTTCTTAAAACTCCCAGCAGAGGGCGCAACAGGGAAAATGTTCACATTTTCTTCGTAACCTATTTTTGCAATTTGGCAAACTCCAAATTGATTTTAGACCCTTGGTTTCTTCAGCAAATTTGCTTAAAATTACAGAAAGCATTCTTCTATGTTATACGCACATAGTCAAAGAAAATTGACCCGCCCTAGTGCATAACTTAAATAAAAATTTTTACCCGAACTTAATTATACACAATTTTATTTTGTATTCATATTAAAATTACTTTGTCCTGTGGCCTTCTTATTTTTTCACTTTTAAAAGTATTTTTTTTTTAATATAAAAAGTAGTAAGATAAAATTTTACTATTTACGCAACTGTATTGTAAACCTGAATTGAATATTTGATTATTTTTTTATTTTTTTTATTTTTATTATTTTGTTGATTACCAAATTACTCTGCAAAAATTGTTTTTAACTCAAAATTTGCATTTTTCATTATTTCTTATATTTTTTTAATAGTTAACTAAAGCTTTTTACTGAAATTTTATTTTCCTTATTCGTACCAAGTATTTATATCCTTTTTTGTTTTGTCCTTAATACCCTTCTTCCTTTCCCCTCTCATTTCCAGCACACTTTTCTAATAACAACTAAATTTCTTTCGAAATTTTGAAAAAGAAACTTAAATAATTTTCAGCACATCTTTATTGCTTTCAATTGCGTTTTGTTTTTAAGTTTATGCTTTTCTACTTTTACTTTAGGTTTCGTTACGTCGTGACCAACGTCCAAAAAGTACTATCGAACCGACTGAGACGACACCTGTACGTAAACTAACCTGTGTGTTAAATGAAAAAAAAACTCAAATTTAAAAATCTTTCAACTAACTAAAGTTTGCTATATAAAAAAAAAAACCATCATAATAATCAATTAACCCCAACATTTATTTTAAGTGTTTAACTTGTTTGTCTACAATTCATGTTATCCTTGTCATAAGACTTAGGCTTAGAGATCACAAGTCGGTTCCTAACTACACCCGATCCTCTTAGTAATTATACATACATACATTTATAATCGTAGCTCGTATATGTAAATAAAGTATATAGTATAGTTTAAATAAGTAGGGACTTACCTTTGCACAAAGCAAATTTGATTTTAAAAACAATGTTGGACAGAGGCGTGCCCTGTTAACGTATATATCAGTGACGATCAGAGGAAGCTTTTACTCTGTGCGCATCCATATTAAATCTATTGGAATTATAAAAAGCTTCAACATCGCGATTGGTTTTTGTGTTGACTTGTCTATGTAAAATGTGAAGAAAGCTTAAGAAGCTCGACACACATGCCTATAGCAGTCACGAGAAAAACAAATTCCACAGAAAAGCTTTTTAAAGCTTTCTATAGAATTTCTATTGATCCGCACAGGATAAAAAAACTAGGCGTCGCTGGCCTAAACTTGTGATGGGCAGCGCATACAGAGCTTTTCTAAGCTTGACATACGTTGTGTTGTATAGACGTATGTGGAGTAAAAGCCCTAATTGCCGCTACTGCTCTAAATCAATCGCGATTAAAGAGAGCTTTTCTATTTCGTAAGACATTTATCAATTCATGAAACTATCTTGAAAGCTCTTTTCTGCATATCGAAAGACTAATCGAAAGATCTGCTAACTAGGAGCTCTCCGGTTATTATTTGCCTTTTAGCAATATGTTTTCTAAAAATTAAATTAAATTGAAAAATATTTTGTTTTAATAAAAAAAATTCAAATGAAATTATCACATTAAAAAAATAAATAAAACAATTTCCTACAAACTATATCCAATTGAAAAAAAGATTGCTTGTTTTAAAACAATAAATACTCAAAATTTAAAGAAAGTGAAATTTAAAAAAGAAAAAAATTCAAATGAAGAAATAAAATAGTTTTCCAAAAAGTAAGTGAAATTGAGAAATATAAAATATTTTTCTTTTTAATACAATACATTCTAAAAGTAAAAGAAAAGTTAATAGAACAATTTATTTAAAAAAAAGCTAAAATAACTTCCTAAAATATAAAAATCAAATTAAACTAAAACTTTTATTTTTAAAACAATAAAACCAAAAAATTAAATAAAAAATAATAATTAAAAAATGAAAAAACTAATTAAAAGTTCCTGAAAATTAAATAAAAAAAAATATATTTTTCTTTTTAAAACAATAACATCTAAAAATTAAGAGAAAATCAAATAAAACTAATCATTTAAACATTGAAAAGATTAAGTTGTTAAAAATTAAATTAAATTAAAAAACGTATTTCCTTTAAAAACAATAAAATCTAAAAATTTAATGAAAAGTCAATTAAAAAACATATTTTTTAAGACAATATAATCTAAAAATTAATAGAAAAGTAAATAAAAAGTAATAATTTAATGCAGAAAAAATAAGTTTCTAAAAGTTGAGACAATGAGAGTTAAATTTAAATTTAATTTAAAATTATTAAAATTAAAAAAAGAGAAAAGTAAAATCAGTTCCTAAAAATCAAAAGAAATTTGAAAAAATATGTGCTAAGACAATAAAATCTAAAAATTGAAAGAAAAGTAAATGAAAAATAAAAAAAATAGTTCCCACCAATTAAATGAAATTATAAAAAAATATTTTTCTTTTTAAGACAATGAAATTTAAAAATGTAAATAATTTAAAAAAGGAAATATTAAAATCAGTTCTTAAAAATTAAACGAAAAAGATTTTTTTTATAAAACAATAAAATCTAAAAACTAAACGAAAATTAAATTAAAAAAATACTCGCTACCCGAGGCTTTCAACCTCGGATCTCTCGAATGGCACGTCAGTGCTTTGCTCACTCGGCCATTGAGACTGTTGGAGCAGCGCCCGCAAAATGATATGCATCTCCAAAGTGGGCAAGGGAGCTCTTTTTTAAGACTTTCGTGCCAGAGTAAAAAAACTCTTTCACACTATTTTGCCTACTCTCTTTCAATTGTCTTACAAACGACTTGCAAGTATCTTTTTCAGAATTGCCCTATTAAAAAGCTTCTCTCGGGGTTTATATTTTGATCGCGACTGCCCTGAGGCATTATGCGATTTTTATCAAAATTTTTCATTTGAAGAGCTTTTGAAAAGCTTTAACTACTTTTAAAATCGGCTTTACTTTCTGTATGGGTAAGTTAAATACTGTTTTTGTCTGGGTTGGTGTCAGTTTTAAATGTGTAAATACGTAAAAATCTTTTCATGTAGAAATTAGCTGTTTATTCTGTTAAGAAAATGTCTCTTGTCCTACCCCATTACCCAACAAATACTTATTAAACACCCAATTTTCTACTTCTGTACTTAGTTAAGTAAACTTTGTGATAACGTTTCATACTTAAGCGTGAAAAAATAGAATTTCTAACTGCATAATAACTAACATGCCACCATATAATTAATCTCTGTCATTCTACTACTTATGAGCATCCATCATTGTTCACATCTGTTGTACGTTTTGTCTTAGCAGCTCATGCTTCCAGCGATGGAATTCACTAATTAACACTCTCATTCATTGTGTTCGTTAATGAGCGTTTATTGGATTATTATCGAATCCATTTGTCTATGGTCTAACTGCTTGTTATATTTTTATTTTCCAGATTATGTTTTTATTTTAAGAGTTAGTGTAATAAATAATTTCCTTTTCTCATACCACTTTATCTATCAGCTGGTGAAACGTTTACGCAAAAGTGATGCCAAAGAAATCACAAGCGATGAAATTGCACTGGAAACGCAGACGTCCACACAATCCGTCGATATATTTACTAATACGATATGCGATCAGATTTGCTATGGCTTTATAAGCATTGGCCAGTTTATATATCAGAATAGTTATATATTTACAAATATCTCTATGATGGTGAGTATGAAAAGTAAAATGTTCATCGTAAATGTAAAAAAGTAAATCCCAAAAGCATATTTAAGTTCTTCCCAGATTTTTCTGAGGAGCTAGTTTTTATATTTGTTTAGCTCAAAACTTCGATTGCATTTTGAAAGTTTAACGGTCTCTTAAACTCCTTTCAGACCTGGTCCATCATTTATCACAGTTGGCTGACCTTCGTTCTACTACTTTGGGCCAACATACTTTGGATGATACCCAATCAGCGTAAGGCCATGATGCGTTCCAGTCCCTTCATCGTATGCTATGCCGAGTTACTACTGATAGCGCAATATATTTATGGCATGAATTTGAAAAATGACGAATTACCCTCCAAAGTTGATGTAAGTTCATTAATGATCATATTTCTTATTCGCGTCCTGCTAATCATTCCCTCCTCTACACAGACCGCCGGCATCAATTTGCAACAAATCGGTCTTGAGCGCCCGCAGGAGCATGGCACACACCCCTGTGTGCCACTAATTGTCAAAACGCTCTTTCTACTCATGTTTTGGGTTACTTCAAGGCAGTTTTTCCAAGAGAAAGCCGAGGAGAAACGCAATAAGCGTAAAACACCTATTGCAATGGCACTTGAAACTATAGATTCGGATACATCCGTTGAATCGGCGCGCAAGCATACATCGAAATTCCTCAAGAAAATTGGCGATATCGTGAAAAATCTTTTAGTGCGCTTATGGATTTGGATGCTAGTTTTGGTGATCTTCTTGTGCGCCATGACGGGAAAATTTATGACCGGTTTTCGCATATGCTACATGGCGTTATTTCTCTTCTTCTTACTCGTCTTCCAATCATCATCGAAGGTGTGGGTCAAGGTCATGTATGGTTTTTGGCTATTCATCATCTTCTATGCCATGTCCATGCTGATACTCATTTACACCTATCAATTTGATAAATTCGATCAATATTGGTATGAGTATTTGAATATATCACAAACGCTGTAAGTATGAATGAAATGGAAATTATGAAAACAAATATGTTTGGCTATTAACAAAAAATGTTTTTTCTTTCACGCGCAGCCAAAACGATATCGGCCTGGAGCGTTACAAAACCAAAGATCTCTTCCTGCATCTGGTCTCACCAACGCTAATCGTTGTACTAACAGTCATACAGGTGCATTATTTCCATCGTCGTTTCATTGAGTCGCTAGGAGAGCGTGAACCGGCTGACATAAATGATGCACGGGTCCCAAAAACTGAAACTGAGCAGCCTAGAAAAGACTCGAAGTCTGATCGTAGCAATGATGCTACGAAATTGATTGTTTCATCGCTAAAACGTTTACGTAATATTACAAGGCATTACTTCATTGTTTCGAAGAAATTGTTTTGGCGCTTCTTGGAATTACACATCATTAAGGCTGTATATATAACAGCATTTGTTTGCGCCGTTAATGAGGTAAGAATTTGAAATTGAAATTTATTTTCGAGAATTTCCTGGCTTACATTGAAAAAGGTTGCTCTTCGATATTCTAAAAAAACCAACCTGAAAAACTATGCACATTTCGTAGTTTGATTTTTTTCCAAAATTGAGAAATGTTTACATAAATTAGTCGTCTAAAGGATTTTAAAGGCATTGAAAGTATTGAAAATATCAGCAGCTAAATACTGTCACAGTGCTTCACGTCTTTACCAGACAAAAAACCACATTTTTAAACAGAAGACTGACCATGGTGTCGGAGCAGGAGTCTATGGCATACAATCCAGAAGATTCCTTTTCACTCGTTCCCACCACAGTCGGGTCCACGTAACCGGAACGACCCAGATTTATATTTGGCCAAGGACTGTCACTCCAGCAACACTCCCCAAAAACATTTTGGGGAACTTGTATGCTGCTACAACAACAACAACAGCGATTCATAGACATAGGTTTGCCATAGAGCTCCGTCTGGATAATTACGGTCTATAAAAATAGAGATCAATCTGGCATAGCAGTATAATTTCTCAATTTTCATCCAAGATAAGACTGAATACTGATTATACACGAACTAAAATAGCACTACATATGGCCTTCAGGGTGAAGCAGGCGTTTTCTAAAGGCCTGGGATTAAGAAAATCAACCCATCTGCCTAATTTTGCAAGTGTTTTTCAGGCAAATGTATTCGTTATAACTGAATGTTGTCGTCTATTAAAACGTAGTGACTTAGGCCAACGTCAAGGCGAACTCGAAGCTAATTACGGAGTTTAGAGCTCTTTTAAATGCAGTTAATAGTGATTTCGAATTTGATTTACATAGTTTGTGGCCGCATATGAGTTAGCAAGGGATGGTTCCACATTGGCCGCAATCGAGGAACGTGTATCACCTCGAATCGGAACTAGTATATACGAGGAAACTTCGAACAGGTTCTACGTTTTACTTTTAGGCACTATGATATATATCACCTCAAACTCCCAAGCCAGATATACTACCGATCTATTCTCAATTTCTGCGAAATTAACCCGATTATGAAGTCAGTTTTTCTAAGGCAAAATAAAGTTCATTTGATGCGAAATTTGTAATGAGCCTCAAAAATTAAGATATTATGAATATAATGTGTATAAATATAAATTACTATTGAGATCCACTTTCTGGTACTTCTAGGTGTGTGTTATTCACGTCATATTCGTAGCGCTCTGCGTACTGGGTTGCATCACAAGAACCTCTATACAAATCTTTATCAGCCGCATAATCTCTTTTGTTGTATCAATTATAATATTAGCAAAAATGATCTACCAAATTGGTTATCTATCGCATGAGGATTACGATGTGAAATGCGTAAGTGAAGAATTTTCTTTTAACTCTGCTACAAACCATTTTACTAACTTCCTTTTACAATTTTAATTTTCAGGATAATGAAAACACAACACACGGCAATAGCGCAGTATGGTTTGGCCTACAGAAAGCCGATGATACGACAAATGGTTTAATTGGTCTCATAAAAATGTACATTATTTATATGATCGCTGTAACGCTGCACGCTGTGGTCAGTCTAAGGCAATTCCAAATGCGCGCAATTTATGGCCATTCGCAAAAAGATCATGGCAAAGTGCTATTCCCTAGCACGGATCGTGTCAAAGCGGAAAAGAATCTCAAATCTATGATACAGTATCTCTTCAATTATGGCTTTTATAAGTTTGGACAAGAAATCTCACTGATAATGTTGGTCACCACAATTGCCTATCGACAGGATATTGTAGCGATTTGTTATGTTGTGTGGTTATCTGTGCTGTTGATGTTCAGTCGAAAGCGGCGTAGCTCCGTTTGGGGTATATTCCAAGTGTTCATTGCGTTGGGTATATTTTTACAATACCTAGTTTTACTCGGATTGCCGCCAAGCCTTTGTTTGGGTAAGTTAAGTGATTGAAGACGACATTTATTTATCCGGTGGACAATATGTATATAATTTACGTTTCAAAATGATACTTGTTGCTATGCCATAACTAAATTTCTATTAATTTCAGAATACCCATGGCAGGATTCTCGCTTCTCAGCACCCATACAAGGCTGGCTTTTGCTCCCCGGTAACCTGCATTATGATCACTCGAAAAAATTGATTTTCGATTTCATTCTCCTACTGATGGTAACGCGTCAAAAGCGTATCTACCGCATCGAAGAACGTCTCGGCGACAGCTATCCGGGTGGCTCGAATCGTAATGTGGTTAAGGACATTGAAGATTTGGGTCGTGTGCCTTTTGAAAATCCAACAAATGATTTCCTTTCGCATGTGCGCAACTACTTGGATATTTTCATGTATGCCATACTCTGCGGCTTCTTTTGGGTAACACTGGCCACCGTATTTTTGGCCGGCACAAATATGAGTGATTTTCTCGCTTTGGGTTATCTAATTGGCGCTTTCACATTCTTGTGGGAAGGTTCCGATTTCTATTTGCGTCCCATACGTCAAATAATCAATCGTTGGCGTTGGCTGCTCGCTTTTAATGTTTTTAATATTGTTGTGAAGACCTGTTTTGAAATGGCTGGTTGTCTATTCTTAGAAGAATTAACACAGAATTGCTGCTGGCTTGTACATTTGTTGGGCATCGGCTGTTACTTTCATACGCAAATACCCGTCGATGATGCACTAAAGGATAAAGGCGGTGGCGAATGCCCGGAGGTGAATAAATCGACAATACTAATGTGGGATACTATTTGTTTTGCATTCCTCATACTACAAATGCGTATCTTCAAATCGCATTATTTCTGTCACATAATCATCGATACGAAGGCGAATAGCATATTGGCGACGAGGTGCGTTGGTTGGGATAAATTTATGTATATAATGTTCTTCTTTATAATTAATACATCTTTTATTATCTTTGCAGAGGCGCTGATATTATTGAGGATCTACGTCAGAAACAAATCGAACATCGTCAACAACATGAAAACGAAATTTTGGTCAAGATCAAGCGCAAAATGGAACGTATACGTGCCACACAACAAAAGATGTTGAAACCCATTGATAAACCCACACATTTCGATGGTAAGTTGTTTGGTTTCAAATGCTATTTACATGCCTATAAAATTCGCATGGCTCTGATGAGTATGAAGATTTATTTTTTGAATGACATCCCAAAATATGATGTTTTGTATATATTAAAATTGAGTGATTTTCTGTTTAAATTTGTGCAATTTTTGAAAGTCACATAAGCAGAATGAAAAATCCACTAGGTTAGATGTTTTATTTTTTTCTTTTTTGCATTTACTTTTTGCAAAATATTAAGTCAGTTCTTGGTCCAAGCTGGAAAAACTAACTTTGCGTCTAATAGATTATAATTGCAAGTTTTCCAACAAGAGCAAAACGTTTTTAAGGCGGGTTACTATAATTTAGATTCTCAATAATATTCTTATGTTATCCTTCGCATTGATGTACTCAGTGAAGTAAAAAGTCAGTGGCATTCTCAACTTATTGTCAATAGTCACCCTGCTTGGCGCATCCCATACTCAATATTCAATTCCCGGAGTTTTTTTTTTTGAAATATTTGAAAGCTACACCGCTGGCATCTCCATGTTATCCATTGGCTCAGCACGCCTAACTGTTCTGAATGCATCACTAATGCTCGTTGCTTATCAGCTTACAGCAGCTAGAGCATAACTCCGCCAATGGACTTAGCCCCATGAAACAAAAGGGTAGACAATCTTGCTCTACACCACTTCATCTTCCTGCACTCACTTCTCTCTCTCTCTCTCTCCCTCATATATTGCTTTTGATGTGTGTTTATAAAGCATATGGACTCATTCAGTTTGAGTGAAAAAAGTCATTTTATATTACTGCACAAGATATGTATATTCCCCACTTCTGCTGCTCTTGGGCGAGTTCTATAATTTTTGTTGTTGCTGTTGTTGTTGTAGCGGCTACAACAACCCCGCCCAGGACGGTTGGTATCTCAGTCGTTGTCGTCAAGTTCCACTAACGGCAGCCCTAGGAAGCGTGCAGCTTCTGTAGGGTTGGTCCACAGGGACAAGGCGTTAGGGTTGTCGGGTTTTCCGGGCATGCGAAGAGATGTTTCGAGTCATGTGGGGTCTCTCCGCATGCCGGACACTCATTTGCCACATCCTCATTCAATCTACTCAGGTAGGAGTTTAACCGGCTGCAGTAGCCGGAGCGAAGCTGGGCTATTGTCGTTCGTGTCTCCCGAGGCAGATGAAGCCCCGTCTCGTCTATGTCCGGGGGCGGTATGCCTAGAACGGCATTCACAGGTCTATAGTCTACATAACTCGAGACTGACTCCCTGTGAATGCCGTTCAGGGCCAGTCGGTAAGCTGACGGGTCCAGAGATTGCTTGATGAACCTCTGGACTTCGTCCGTCAGTTCATATAAATGCCTCCTGACGGGCCTAGGCGAGGGCTCCTCTGCAAGCAGCTGTCTGTTTGGGTGGCCACATCTGTGGCTCCCGATCAGGAACTGCTTGCAGAGCATTATGTTGTGCTCCTTTACGGGGAGCATTTGCGCCTCGACGTGGAGATGGTGTTCGGGCGACATCAGGAGGCATCCTGGCGCTGTCCTGAGTGCGGTGTTCTGTACAGTCTGTAGCTTCGTCCACTGCGTCCTACTAGTCCCCGGCGACCACACTGGCGCTGCGTAGTTTAAAACCGGCCGGCCTATTGCCTTGTATGTTGCCAGCAACGTTTCTTTGTCTTTGCCCCAAGTACTGCCGGCTAGCGACTTGAGGACCTTGTTGCGGCTCTGTACTTTATTGACAATAGCGGTTGCGTGCGCAGAGAAGGAGAGCAGGCTGTCGTATGTTACTCCGAGTATTTTGGGGTTATTCACCGTCGGAATTGGTGTGTCATCGACGTGAATCCCCAGCGGTAGCCTGACCTCCTTCGTCCAGGTTGTGAACAGGGTCGCGGAGGATTTCGTAGGGGAGAGGGCTAGACACTTTGCAGTGAAGAAGCGAGAAAGTTCGGAGAGATACCCGTTTACTTTCGAACACAGGTCATCAATTCCATTCCCAGTCGCCATGATCGAGCAATCGTCGGCATAAGAGACAATCGAGACTCCCTCTGGTGGTTGAGGGAGCTTTGAAATGTAAAAGTTAAACAGTAGCGGGGAAAGGACACCACCCTGAGGAAACCCCTGTTTTATTTTTCGCTGTTTACTCGTTTTGTCTCTAAACATTACCGACGAATGTCGACCACTCAGATAATTTGCCGACCACCGTTTGAGCCTCTGTGGGAGAGAGGAGGCCTCTATATCTTCTATTAGCGTGGAATGGCAGACGGTGTCAAACGCCTTTGACAAGTCCAACGCCACTAGAATCGTTCTCTCACAGGGACGGTTTCGGTTAAGGCCACGAGTTATCTGAGTGTTTATGGTAAGTGCTGTTGTTGTACTGTGCACTTTACGGAAACCATGCTGATGCTTCGCTGGGGTCAAGTGGTTTGTGAAATACGGGAGTAGCAAGGCCTCGAGTGTCTTCGCTACCGGGGAAAGGAGTGTTATCGGACGATAAGAATCTCCTTTGTTGGCAGGTTTCCCCGGTTTGAGCAGTGGGACCACTCTCCCCACCTTCCAGATGTCTGGGATGATGAGAGTGGCCATAGACAAATTGAGGACCTCCGTTAGGTACGCTACCCCCGCAGGACCCAAATTTTTCAGCATCAGCATGCATATTCCGTCGGGACCCATGACTTTGGAGGCTTTCGCCTTCCCGATGGCCACCTGAACTTCACCGCAAGTGAAAGCAAGGGGGGCACAGGTTGTTGGCAGTTTGTGCAGCCTTCTGGTCACTCGACGCTTGGCTTTGTCCACCGGAGGATGCAGTATGAACTGCCGGCTAAAATAGCTCGCGCATCGCTCCGGGTCCGACGAAGCATGGTCGCCGAAGGAAATTTCGACTCTGTCGTCGTGCTTCGTCGGATTGGACAGTGACCTCACGGTTGACCAAAGCTTGCTAACACCAGAGGTGAAGTTACAGGTCTTCAGATGCTCCTCCCACTTCTTCCGCTTATGTACGTTTACTAGTTGCCGAATCTCCGCGTTGAGATCCCTGATACGGGGATGTCCGGGATCGGCCTGACGAAGGCTATCTATAATTTTTCTTCTCATTTGGCTCTACAGCCATTTGTTGGTTTTGGGACGAAGCCAAGAAACTTAGCTTTCCTCCTTTGCGAAGTTGCGCCAGTTGTGCCTCGCTAGTGCAGACAGGTTCTTCTACACGTAGACCTTCCATTGTGTTCGCGGGCGTTGTTGTTGTTGTTGTTGTTGTTGTTGTAGCGGCTACAACAACCACGCGCAGATCGGTTAGTCCCTCAGTCGTTGTCATCAATCCCTAGGAAGCGTGCAGCTTCAACGGGGTCTGCCCATAGGGACAGGGGCGTTAGTGTGTTGGGGTTTAGAGGGCATGCGAAGGGATGCTAGGAGTCATGGGGCGACTCTCCGCATGCCGGCGTCCTTTCTTTCGTTGTCCACTCATGGGTACCGAGTCGAAGGAGCCTCGTGATCCATGCGTGTAAAACATGCCCAAGCCAGCGCACTCGTTTAAAAATTTCCGATAGTTCGTCATTCCATCTTCTTCGGTACCCGTCGTACACGCAAACAGGGCCATAGCTTTTGATTGGAATAGATCTATCGGATGCCCCCCCAAAGCATTCTTATCTTTTTTCGCCTTATAAAAGTATAACGGGTTTGTGTGTGCTTTTCAATTGCCTACCGAGCCCAAAATACCACCTGTTTGCAAGAGTTATTCTTCGTTTATTCTCCGGGCTGAGATTGTTGGTGGTCTTTATGTTGCATCCTACTTCACTTTACGGCCTTTTATTTGTTTCCAGTAGGTACTTTGTCTTGGCTTCGTTCACCGCTAGACAAACCTCTTTCGCTTATTTTTCTTAGCTGGAAATGCTGTGCTGATTTCCCTGAGTCTCGTCGGCCTGAGCTCCATAGTTCCCCTTTCGTAAAAATGCGTCTATTTATAGGTGAAAAGACCAAATAAGGTACTGATTAACCTGATTATATGTATGTATGTGCAAAAATTTTCGAAGAGAATGAATCAAGTTGAAGTCTAACGGTGCATGTTCAAGAGAGTATGACAATATTCATCCGAATCGACTGTTCGGTTTCGTGGTAAGAGCTCAAAGAACGCCACACCCTTCCAATTCCATCGTACTGAGATACTTTTGAAGCACTTTAGAACTAACACCGTTGATTGCTGACAAATGTTTTGTTGTCAAAGGCTGTTTTGTGATCCTCTGTAATATTTTTTTCTGATTCTGTTAGAACTTTTCTTTGTATAGAATTGTACTAAATAGACTTGAAGCACAGTTTTATAGGAATAGATCAAAAGTGTGAAGCCTAAAGCTGTTGGTTGGGAGGATTACTTAAAAATTAAAGCTCCGACTGGAAAAGAAGTCGCAGCTGAACAAAATTTTGGAATTTATTACAATAGTTTTTTGTTAATACACAAATTTACATATATTTTTTGGCTTGTACGAAAATCCGCTTTGGACATTGGCAAGCAGTTTGTATTTAAGCATGGCTTAAAAGATAGCTCTCCTTAAGCCCCGTGCTATTAATATTTTGCTGATTTTCTTTTACAACTAAACACCTCCATACTTTTCGGCGTTCGTGTGAAGCCGCACATAATTTTACGCGTGCACTTTTAGAATGCATTTATTAATTTATTTTTTTATTTTTTGCGCGGTAAGTGCATTTTTCAAAATGACTTTTTGAAGAAAAATGTATGTAGTACGTCGCTTTTGAGTTGAGTTTATTAAGTTTTGTGTGACATAAATACAAATACTACGTTCCAAACAATTTGAACACACAAAAAAAAACACACTCACCAAAAAACAACCCACCAATTAAATAATTTTTGTAGAAGTAGTCACTTCGACTGCTGAAAATGAGTTGAAGCCAACGCTTCAGGCAGCGCCCTTGGCGCACGAAAGCAGTTTCACTTCCTGTCATGGCTCACACGGCTATCACACACCCGACGAAGATGATACCAGCGCATCCAGCTCGACTTCGCAAGCGCACAGCAGCAGCAGCAGTGGCAGTGGTAGTGGTAGCAGTCGTAGCGCTAATAGGCGTGAAAAGCGTGTGCATAATGATGGCACTGAAAGCGATACAAGCAGTGAGGAGTGCGTACAACTGATCGATAATGACACTGTGCAACACAATATACGCATTGAATATGCCGACTATGGTGGTTCTGAAGTGGCTACCGATTATGCTGATGTGCTATCGGAGAAGAGTGAGAACACCGATAATGCACTCGCCGAAGATGTTGTTGCTGGCGCTGTGCGCTTGCGCTTGCCCAAAATCGATATACAGCCGCATTCGCAGGTAAGTAGTGAATATTATTTAAAATTTGTGTAACGATACTTTTCAACTATACCAAAAATTTCTGCGTCGCTAAATACGTAAAGCCCACCACACCCAGTTCGGATCACACTACAATTCCTCTGGATGGTTTTCTCGACGTACATCGCATGTCATTTGGTTCTGCTCCCAATTCCGATTTGACAGCGGTCATACGCGAAGAGGACTCCGACGTTTCGAATGAGGTCTTCTCGCCACCAACTTATGTAACACGCAGCATGCAGCTACTTTGTTGAGAAGTGTAATTCTCATTAGTTTGTATTGTTTTGTAGGAATCCATACAGCAGCCGACTTTGTTGCACACTTTAGTGGTTCCCGTGACTACGTCGTGCAGTCTTAATGTAAATGTTAGTGGTGGCAGCTCGATTATCTCTTCGAATTTGATAACTGATGGTGCCTCTGGTCGTCATCGTCGTCAGTCATCAGTTAATGCTGTTTCATGGAATGAAACTGTTTCGGTGCAATGCGCTCCGGATGAAAATACTGATCCCGCTGAAGAAGTAGGCTTTAAAAAGTTATTATGAGACTGGAACACTGGAAAATGTGGTTGACGAAGAAATGTGGTTTGAGAAAGCCTGTTTGTAGTGGCATACCTGCTCTTATTTAGCCATATTTAGCGATAAAAACTCTACCGTAGCAATTTCTGGCATTGCACTGCAAATATGACACAATCATTTCATTTCATTTCATTTTTCAGACAATCGAAATAGCATTTTGTGTCCGTCTTCTATGCTCATTCCTACGACAGAAACATTTAGATTTATATCCTTTGAAGGATACTAGCTCCGACTCAAAAGTGAAAGGTAATGCAAAACGCCTTTCGCAAAAATACTGGGGTCAGCGTAACCGGAGTTGGACTGATGAATGTTATTTTTTTTTACGAAAAAATTACAAAGACGTCGACGACGACAACCTTAACAGGGCCATATCTTCTCCTTCCGCTAACATCCATAATACCTTTTCGATTGTCGTCGGCGCATTCCGAGAGCTTTGCATTAGCTAGTAAGGAGCAAAGCGGCCATATTCATTGTTTTTCTTTGGCAGATGATTGCTTTCCGACCCCCACCGAATGTAAGCGGATGATTTGGCTCCGACTCTTAATAACAGTGAACTTCTCCACACTTCTCTCCTCTAGGATGCGCTCCCTCGCGTAAACGATGGATGCTATCCAGAGTCCGTGGACCTGTCACAAATTCAGATGAATTTCCACCCGTGGGGGTGTCACCTCGAGTAACATTTTCGCATTCTGCAGTTTTTCCCGACTTCAGTGGATATTCCTTCCCGTCATCATCATTGTAAGTCCCCAGACGCTCTAAGGCCATACGGATCAATCGTTCCAGTGGATTGTCGCCTTTTAAGGAAAGCATGAAGCGTATATTCTAAACCCCATATACCGCAGGGCTAAAGCCTTCTAAGTTTCCTATTCGATGAAGTTTGTTTTGAGCTGGACACGCTTCGTGTCAATTTATTACCCCCTTTCTTTTCATTTTCTTTATGAATATCTTTTACCATATTCACACACTGTTATCGATAAATTTATTGTTGTACTTATCGATATAATAATCGGCATGATTGCTGAAACAATTATCGAAAACGTTATCTATATCGATAATCATAGTGGCATTGTTTTTGTTATCCATATTGCTATCGATATATTTAAATTACGTCGTTATCGGTACAATTAGTGCGCATGTAAATCTAAAAATTTAAAATTATTATTATTCCAATGCCACGACGCGCTTGTCAGCCACCTTTTCATTTACGTCCCAGTCTAATATTCTCTACTTCTTTATCTTTACGATTCGTAATAATAACTTGTTTTAAACCATCAAGCCTTCGGTGGAATTGTCTGTCACCATGCGCCAGAAGTCGCTACATCGACGTCACCTGAGTTTGGGCAATGCTACATACCCCTTGGATGAGCAGAGTGTGCTGCGGGATAGCACGCGACGTGACAGTAGCGTGTCTTGGGCGCGTGATGCCGCCACTCAACGTGCCAAAACACGTCCGCACAGTTGGGGGCCCGTTGGTACGGCCTATTATATGGATTCGTTGATGTCTGAACCAGTCGATACTAAGCTGCATGGACAATGTATTTGGAGATTAATAATATTATTTTCTAACACTCTTAAGCATACATATATTTATTTTATTTTGTGAATAATAGATTTGTAAATTTTATGAATTGTACATAAGTTTGTATGTATTTTAAAACAACTTGTTTCAAAACAATAAAAGTTTCGCTAATTTAGAGAAAAACTGATGCACCGCTGTTTGTAAATAACACAAAAGTCAATTTAGAAAAATTGTAAATGTCTTTTACTTAAATTTTTTTAATTACTACTAACATGAAATGTACATATAAATGGACAAAGTTCTTTGTAAATAAATAAAAACGCATATCGAAATGCCATAATTTTAGGTTAGTATGTGACGTATGTAGTTGAAACGTGTCTTTTTCGTGAAATTGAGTAATTTTTCTACTTAAAAAAAAAAAATTAGAAAAATTACAACTACACTTTTATATAAAACATTTTAACAATAGGTGCCTACATTACTGTGTATATTACCTGTGTCTTCTGATTTGAAGACCAAGCTCCGTCATTTATGCCGCGCCACTTCTTGTTATAAGCCTGGCTTTAGTAGTTGAATTTTATTATTGCCAACACATTTGCATTTATTTTGCTTTTAAGCATAATTATGAGCATATTTCTTTTATAACGCTTTATATATACATATTTGTTTTATTATTATGCTTATTATGTTTGTGTTTTCTTCTTCAATTCCCTTTGATTTTATATTTTTAATATTTCTAGAACATGGTGCTCCAAGCAAACAGCACAAACGGAAAGAGATTAAGTTACACGGACCTGGTAAAATCCATTTGCTTTTATGCTTACATAATACAGAATTTGTTTTAAATTATGTATTAATTTTATATTTAATTATATATACACACATGCCTATATACAATATTTATATTATTTATATTCATTTAGTACTATATTTGTTTACGCACATATCGCTTACATTTCAATCCAATTAAATTTCGATTTTTGTGCTAGTGAAGTATCCTTAATGTTATATGTACACTGAAAAATTGGGTTGCTTTTATGCACCCACACACATACATACATACATATGTACCCAGTAATTTATTTATATTTGTGTATTTTAGTTAATTTTTTTCTACCACCGGTCTTCAACGTAGTATGTCTGTGCCCGTTTTAGATTTATTTTAATTGCTTCTGCCTATGAATTTTGCTTGCTTGTTGTCCCGAAAAAAATAATACGTTCAAAATGTCCCTTATATTATATGCATTTACAGTCAGATCGACAGACTTACATTCATCTGTAAATATGTGAATTTCTTATGATTTCAACTTTATATACAATATATTTTAATGGTTCCTTAACCGAGATTGTTTTAGAGATAATTTTAAATTCTATTAATTGTAAATACGCCCATAAATACTTTAAACTCATATACATATATATCATTTAATTTTTCATAGCCTCAAATTCAATGTTTCAGAGTGAGATAATGGACCGTATCCATATAACCTAAGCAAATACTTCTTTCTTAAAATTTCAGACTATTAACTTAATTTGTTCAAATAAATTTGAGTGAAAGGAATGCGATTTAAAAAAGCAATTGCTTAGTTTTTGTGCATACGACCCAATATCCTCTTTTTTAAACCCAAGAAGAGCGCCACTCAAAGAAATAGCTCAAATATGGGAGATGAAGGGAGCGATGGTCAAAACATACATATACTTGTCTACAAGTCTTGTAGTAGGCACTCTTTCCGCGCGCATACCCGCTCCTACTTTCAAAACATTGATATGCTCTGAGATTGTAGGAATTTTCAACATTCCTAAATTCATAAAGAGCCTTGGTCGCAGCCTGACGGACAATAATCGGGGTTGGCAAGTTTTGGGCCGCATGTTTAGTTTTCTAAATGAGCCGCTAAAACTAAAACTACAAAATTACTAAAACTAAAAAGTCAAGGCTTAAACTATATTTTTATACATACATATGTATGTATGTCCATATTTTGCGAAATGTTTTTGGATAGTTTCAAACCAATAGTTCTCAAAAACGGAATAAATGAGTGGACAGATTTTGATAATACTGTTCAAGTATGTATGCACATTTTATTGTTGAAAACTGAGTAAAGTATATAACTAGATGGCCCTATGTCTCGAAGGCGTGAATAGTTATAGCGTTTTCTTTTCTCCTAAAAATTGTGCCCTTTCCCATAGTATTTGTGCGTAGAGGGCACTGAGAAGGCAACATTTTTCTGTAGAAAAGAAAACGCCATTAGTTAAAAATTTTACGGTAGCAGAACCAGGGACACTGCAAATTAGGGGGTTTTATGTATTCCGACTTGATCCTAAAAGCCCAAAATACTGGCAGTGTGTTTTGGTTTGACTGTTTTGGATTGCCTGTAAATATTAAAATATTAAAAACCCACGCCTGTTTTAGGCCACTACCACTCCCCAGTACTTACTGCCTTCTGAGTTTGCTTTGTAACCGGAAATTTTTATTACCCAAAAATGTTACCACTTGTCACCGCGATTCTAGGTACGTTGGTAATGCAGTCAAAATGTTCAGGAATTCATCTTTGAAGATTTGGCGAAACTCTTTTATTGCATATTTCAGGGGGCAATATCTTGTTACCAGCTTATGAGATGGCAACAAACTTTACTGGTTAGAATAGTTCACGGAATCCGAAAAGGGTTTAAAAATTGACAGACACTTCTTTTACCGGTTACAAAACTTTTGTTGCCGGGGAAGAATAGACCTGTTAGTAAGTATAAGTCTCCAGGAAGACAAAGTGATTCCGATTTCACTCCCAATACCGTAGTGGAGTGGTACTCTGCAGAGTGTCACCTTGTTCCTCGCTGCCAAGAATGACATTATAAAAACACTCTTTGAAGAGGGACCAGATGACCGTATTCAATTTTCTTCTGGCGCGGTGCACTTCTTCCTGTACGATTGTGAGCCATGTGTATATTGCAAAAAAAAGCTCAGAGCTGGGTCTTTTAATACCTCTTTTATATCCTCAATCCGTCACAGAATAGAGTTTCCGTTCTATATTTTTTTTTTTTGAAACTTGCTCTCAAAGCAAATTTCTTTTAACATGGAATGTGTATGTCCGTATCATTCTAGCCCCAGGATTGTTACTAAAATACCTTATCTTAATAAAAGTACCGTCAGATATTTGCATTTGCCGAATTTTGGATTGGAGTGCAACCGAAAAGCGACTCCATAGCCGCAGTTGAACAAGCTCTCATTGACCCTGCGGCAAAGGGCAAAGATGTCCTTTGGAGTCTATTCAAACGTTTATGTAAAGCGTTTTGAATGTGTTTTCCATAGCATCCGAAGCAAAGGAAAAGGGTATTTGAAATTAAGTCTAATGTAGCAAAGCAAAAATTGAGAGCAAATCAGAGGTAGTCTCGCCACTTATAGGCGCCATAGACAGTGCGTCTGACTCGCGAGTCATCTGTGTACGTATTGACTCGCCTTTCGACTACAGACAGTTGAGCCATTCAGAGACATGCCAGAAACATGTCGGTGTAACTAACACATATTCATTTTCACTAACACATCCAAACCGACTCGTGAGTCAGACGCATCTTGTATGCTGCCTTTTAGAGTGATTGACTAGAGATTCTAGCCAAGTTAAGCTAATTTTCTTTTTATTTATTAATCATAAGAAGAAATCTTATATAAGGCTATGTAGTTCCACATTAAGTATGTTAGGCATTCATTGAAATAAGAAAATTATTTTTTAATTACAGTGTGCTACCGTTTAATTGGTTTTCCAGCCAATATCATTCATCTTCCTCTAAATAATTAAGGATATGTGCATACATACATACATACATATGTGTGAATTACTAATTTACTTACATATGTATTTCCATTTCATATTAATTATATCATTGCATTATTCACAATTTCACTACCAATTCGAGTTCATTATGAATTACGCAATTTTTATTTCCTCAAATAAAAAAAAAAAAAACAAAAAATATTTATCTTTAAGTTTTCTTTTGCATATTTTTTGATTTTCTTAGATGCGCCCGACGCGCCTGTTGTCGTTGAACAATTAAGGCTGCCACACAAAAAAGGTTTAATTTACGTTCTTTTTTTTACTTTGAGTAAATCAAATAATTTTTGGTTGTTGTAAAGAGTTAAATGAAATTGGAAATTAAACCACAAAAAAACAAAGTATCGCAAAGCAAACTACTAAACTTCGGCGAGATTGGTTGCTGAGCGCCTAATAAACTAACAAATGCATAGTTTTGAACTAAAAACTACTATTTGCAAAATAACCTTTTTAGCAGCGGCTGTCACACCCTTTAACTATATACGTACCTACTATACTACCTCATCCATAGTGCGCAATAAATACTAGGCCCTGCTTCCCGCAATTAAATGGCTGAATCGTGCGCTCGGCTTATACATTATAATCCTTCTTATTAGTCGATTGTTTTACTAAAAAAAAAGTACTCTCCTTTCTTTTTATGGCAACTGACGTCAAAAAAAAAAGTAGAAAGAAAAATCTTTGTAATTTTTTTGGTGTACTGATCTGAGTATTTTATACTCAGCTTCATTCACAAGTCTGGTTCAGTACTTTTCAAGGTATTGCTTTAACAATTCTAACCATACCTACATATTTGGCTCTACTTATCTACTCTTTAAACATACATACATATGTAAATATATTTAACATTAGTTGTTTGTATATATTTAATTACATATGTACATAACTATATGCATCACTAACCTTTTAATGGATGTTCGAAACTACTACTACTTAATTGTACATTTGTCTGGTGTTTGTTTTTCTGCTTTATTTGTACATACCTACTTACATATTTACTCTTACAATTTACATACTTATGTACTTACATATATATCGTGCTTTATTGTATTTATTTAGTGGATTTTGTTTATAAGCTTTTTTGTGAAACTAAGCAAATTTTTCCAACTCTCCTTTAATCCTTCGACGTTTTTAGCTGTACGTGCCGGAGATTATTACATGTTCGAAGATGTGGATGATAAATTCGAATTGGACGTAATCGATGATGAGCAAGATTTCCTATCGGAACAAGAAAGCGAAAAGAAATTGCAACGTCGTAAAACGGTCATAAATGTGAGTACAATGAAATGATAAATGCCAATTTTGACTAACTTGCCTAAATAGAAATAAAAGTATGCTAAGTAAGTATTACAAAGATAGCTGCATTGAAGAATAATTGATTGACTTGCATATATACAATAACATATGTAGCAGTTGAGCATATTGAATTTTGAAGTTATTCAAATAACATTATAATATAGGGTGTTTCAACAGGTGTTTGTATTTAAATTTTTAAAGTAGACCTACAAAGCCATCATCGTTGAAATTCGGTATTGTGCCGCCTTTTTTATCTAATTTTTAAACGACTTCACAAAAAGGAGGAAGGTTATCAATTCGTCGAAATATTTTTTTTTTTGTATGTATGTTACCGCATAACTTTGGACCACGTTAACCGATTTCTATAATTATTTTTTTAAAGGAAAGGTGTTACCTCACAGGTGGTTCTAATTTGGTTGAAATCCGATCATTGGATCATGAAGAGATTAACGATAATCTTAAATTTTTGTATGGGAATTGAAGTCGGTTTTGTTTTTTGCTTAAAAATTACTTGTCATTCATTGTGCTTTTATGGCGCATTTACATGGTATGAAGCCATATGAACTGTTGATACGCTAAAATAGAGGGACTACATGTTCTAATGAGGAATTCAATGATATGGAGTGGGATGCATATAATAAATTTTTTCATATGAAAAGTTATGGGGAGATACTGTAAACATACTGTTGTGATACTGTTAAGCATATGAAATTATAGCAAGTTGAATTTTCATACATCTTCCCATAAAAAGTTTAACAGATGCAGAGATACCAAGGGGGGTTTTCCCCATTTTGATGC